GTTTTCTTTCAATTCAGCAGTAGAACTCTCCCAATTTTTACCCCCTTTCCCCTTTCCAAGAAAGTTGAGGAAAGCTAGCTCAAAACATGCAACTACTTCTGCGTTTTTACATGTGGACCCTGAGACATCATCAGGGAAGGAAGAATTTCTTAGCAGAAAACTGCAATCATATTACCACGAGAAGTCTGTGTAAAAATAATGTTACTTAAGCCTGGAATCCTAAAAACAAAGCTAGAGAGTAAATGTCATCGGATACAGTGGGACTTACTTCCAAGCTAACAAACATATTGTTGCATTGCATGCCTGCAAAGTCTTACAGAAGGCTTCTCTAACCAGGCGCTCTCCCATTGTTCTAGACTACATCTCCCATCAGCCCCGGCCAAGGAGTTGTAGTCCAAAACATCTGGAAAGCACCAAGCTGCTTTACACCCTTCCCTGAAAGGAATCCTCAATGAACACAGAGACCTATGCCCAAAATTACACTGCAGAATACCATTCACCAGCCACCAAGCATTATGGTGTAAATCTGCACTCTGATGGCAATCTACCATTGGAAACCTGTGGGATATGCATATTAAGCATATGGAAAAGTAGGAGGGGTAGAGGTCACGGAAATTAAATGAATGCGTCCTAGCAGCTGGGTTTGAGAAGTCATGCTCCAAGTGCAGCAATGTCAACAGAAGTCTGAAGCACGACTCTATGTAGCTCTTCCTGATTTTAATGAAATGAGGATGGAGAAAGGCAAAACTATGAGGTGGCCTTCATTCCCTTTGGTGGGTGCACACTCCTATGGTGTTGTGCTTCAGAAACCTGCAGCTGTTCCAACTTAAGACTTTGTGGCTGAAGGATACTAGCACACACTTGCCTTTCTTTACCAGACGCTGCACATGGAATCCTGTAAAAACGGGTTTTGTACCAATACAGGAGGGTATCGTGGTCCTTTTCACTAGATATGATACCAGCCTTGGTGCTTCCTTCAGTGAGGAAACGATGGTTTGACCAGATATGAGAATCTGTCAATGCATCAGATTGTGCCAAAGACCCTCACCTTGAATCTTACAGCAAATTGAGCTGAAATACCATTATCTGAGAAGTTAATGGTGAAATGCTGTAGTCACTGAGAGTTGGCCCTGTGTCACCAAAACCCACTAAGGTTTAGTTATTCTTAAATTCCAGTATTTCAAGTTATTGTAAATGGCTCTTGGAAGTGGCAGGGGCAACCCAATCTAACAGAATTCTCATGGTGTAAGAACAGTCCAGTTGCAATCTACCTCTCACCTTTGAAAGAGTTAGATCATTATTAATATTATTTTACTATTATATATAGAATAAAGGCAAGGTTATAAATCAACCATTTTCACTTGGTTGTATTTACACGGAAACTTTGCGCAGAAAACAGCAACCCAAAGCAGCTTTACAAAGTCGGAACGACTAATTTTAAACCAAGCACTCATTAAAAAACAAACAACAAGCATTCAATGTCAAATAAATGCAGTAAATAAAAAGATATTGCACATGTGGTGGTGCCGTGACTTCAATTTGTCTGCTGATGAATATGTAAAAGTTGTTCAAATAAATCAGCACTTAATATTCTTTTAACCCAAGGCTTATTTAAGTTCTTCCAACCAGTTCTTCCAACCAGCCAGCTTCATCCCTTACCTTTGACTGGGAGGACAAGGCTCCTTGCTCTGGTAAAAATCCAGAAGACAGCCGTAACTCATGTCTTGACTCTCTTCAGTACAGCCAGATGCAAAGGATGCCCAGGTCAGCAGCTTTTCCTTGGTTAGCCAGAGGATAAGCAGCAACAGCAGCAGCAAACTCAATAGAGGGGGCTCCTTGCACGCAGAAGGCTTGCCAAAGCATTCTTGGTTACTAATGCGCACTGATAAAAGCTATTTGTATGTTTACAGACAAATTGCAAGCACCATTGCTTCTTCTACGCTTCTGCCTAAGCTCTTTGCTGTCCCAAAAGGTTGATGGCAGAAGCCTGCAAACCCACATTTCTTCTACACTGGCTGAACTCCCTTGAAGAAGAGCAAATTGCATTTAAATGAACAGCAAAGGCAATGCGCTGTATGCATGTAGCATTAGCACATCGGTCATGTATCAAGGGCACACGTGATACATGCTTTTAAACGTAAGCAGAACAGATGCCTTGTTTACACAGGCAAATGCACCTTCCTCAGCCCATATTATGAATAATTTGGACCTAACATATATAGTTTCACAAGAGTCGCTTAAGGCAGTCTTCGGTTAGATTTGCAAAAAGTCAAAGGGTGGTGAACACTATCTTGTAATACATACACACTACTCCGCAGAGTGTGCTATAAAACTCAAGTTATTTTTAAGTCTTGGGAATGACTGCTTAGGTCATAAGCATCAAAGCAGACCTGTGAGTCACTTCTGCATGGTCACCCTTAGCATGCAAAAATAACTTGTTTACGCTGATGTTATATTATCTCCCTGACATTGCTGCTCAGCTAGGTAGTTAGCAAGGGCCTCTCTGAAAATAAATATAAATTATGAAGAAATGGGTCACTTTTTTATCCCCTTGGTCAACACGCGGAGAAGAAATATAGGTCACTAAGATCCAAGTATAGCTATCAAATCAATCTCTGTGCTTTTTCACACGCCTCACTTCCACTAAAACGTGAACAACAACAAAAACCCCAGTACTGTAGATGGCAGGCTAGAAGCAGCAGACAAACTGTGCTCATTACCATGCTATTTGTGTCATTTTGTGCAATGACAGCATGGCCGTTCTTAAGGGCGTTTTTGGAAAATATTAGCTGAGGTAGGTATAATTCCAAGCCATAGTTTAGTCGTGGGCGGGGCCTTCCAGTTGTTGTTGTTGGGCTCCAACTCCCACCAACTCCCAGCCAGCATAGTCAAGGGTCAAGGATGATGGGAGTTGCAGTTCAACACTATCTGGAAGGCCACAGGTGCCCCACTTCCTGGTTTAGGCTGAGTGAATGTGAATTAACACTGGAAAGATTAGGGAAAGGAAGTCACTGGCGGAGGAAGGGGGCATGGGGGGAGCATCCCCTTGTGGGACGCTCACCGTGCCACCGCCGTGAGCGGCACGCCCTGCCCCCAGGTGCACCACATGTAAGCTGCCGGAGCAGCTAGCTCTGCCTCTGAAGGAAGTGTGTTCCTTTCTGATTAAAAAAGCATGCTATAAGTGCCATGGGTAGTTTCTACCAACTATACACCCCGCTGTCCCATACATAAATGTAGCATTTGCCCTATTTTGTGTTTGGAGCAGGGGCTTTTTTTTCCAGCCGTAATTCAGGTCCATCACCTCTCAGGTGAGTGCCATTACCATTCTAGGAGAACGAAGGAGGTGTCCATGGTGACTTCTTACACCTCTTTTTCTGGAAAAAATGGCACTGGTTTGGAACATATGTGCTTGTCCTTGATAAGCGCGAAAGAATGGGGGATACTTTTCAAGCAGTTCCGAGTCTATGCTCCATTGTCCCACCGGAGCCATTTTTACATGATACACAAACAGAAAGAGTATATAAAACTGTGAAAATGATATATTTGAGGTATTAACTTCCAAAGTTTAATACTCTCTTCAGGGGACTGGGCATTTGATATTTTTTTTCCTCAGTGCCCCCCCCCTTCTGCAGACTGAATTTATATAGAAAAATGGTTTCAGCTGAAGACGTAGAGAAATCACTTCAGCTAAATCACACATGGGTGGACGCAAAGTCTGCTACCAATAAAAATTAACTGATGGAAGAGGCTTGCAGAAATACAAAGGAGAAATAGCAGGGAAACTCTGAAGAAATCTGCTGGCAAACAAATCTGACTCAACATGAAAAGAATATTGGGGGAAAGTCTGACGGAGTGGAATAACAGGAAGCTTAGTCAGTTCTGGAAGAAACAAAAAATAAAGAGTGTGTTCTTTTGTGAGACAGAAGTAGGAAGGGAGACTACTGTACTTTAAACAAATCGGAGGGATTGGCAGCCACAGTGCTTGAAAAAAGAGATTATGAACTCAATGGGATGGTGACCATATTAAAGTAAAATGGATATCTGGCTGGAATATGATATGAAGCCACAGAGCCCAAAGAGTACAGCTGGTATAAACAAGAAAACAAAACTTGAGGAAGTGTGTCCATAAGAAAATAATAAACTAGATGGACTGATCTCAACAGAAAAAAATTCCCCAAACCACTCTAAAAATCCACAATTAATCATTCATTCCATTTTTTTCTTCTCCCTAATTCATTTAATTTTCTAAAAGGACACAAGGAAGCGTTTGACGAAATTAAAATGATGTTTTGAAGCAGATCAAAATGCTAAGTGAAATAAATAAATGAATAAATACTTAACCTTTGATTAGCCTGCAATTGAGTGGGGAATGGGCTTATTTCTGTGACAGTTACAAATGCCACCCTCACAAACGTTAATAGGCATGGAAATAGAGAATCCCTTTCCAAAGATTAATCAGATATCAGTGAGATCTTAATTAATATCTCAATTCCTTTGGCATACAAGCTTCTATATATAGAAAGAGGTTAGTCCTCCAACAAAACATGCTTCTAAATTATCTCATCCTTCTCAAATGGATCCATTGTGCCAGATATGGGGAAGCTGTAGTCCTTCTGGTGTTCCTGGACTCCAACTCCCATCAGCCTCAGGATGCATAGGCAATGGTCAGGGGTGATGACCACTGCCTATGCATGCTCTCTACATGGGTTCTATGCTATGGAATTCCTTTCCAAGGGAAATTCATCCCATATCCTCCCTGCTGATTTTCTTCAAACTGGTAAGAATGCCCTATTTAATTATGAAAAACTCCTTCCAGTAGCACTTTAGAGACCAACTAAGTTAGTTATGGCGATTCCGTGCCCTGCTCTGGTTCGCCAGAAGTGGCTTAGTCATGCTGGCCACATGACCCGGAAGCTGTACGCCGGCTCCCTCGGCCAGTAAAGCAAGATGAGCGCCGCAACCCCAGAGTCAGCCACGACTGGTCAGGGGTCCCTTTACCTTTACCTAAGTTAGTTAATGGTATGAGCTTTCGTGTGCATGCACACTTCTTCAGATACAGGCATGCACACGAAAGCTCATACCAATAACTAATTTAGTTGGTCTCTAAGGTGCTACTGGAAGGATTTTTTTAAATTTTGTTTCCACTACGGCAGACCAACATGGCTACCTACCTGTTAACTATTTAATTACGGTTTGCCACCTGAAAGCTGAAGCTGACCACTGTATCCCACTTTGGGGGGCTGTTTGTTGTCATCTTGCTTTAACCATGTGTTTAAATTTGTAAACCACTGGAAACTATTTCATGACATGTGTATACATACATACATATATATATATATATAGCACGTAAACTTCTCATATTGATTCAAATACATAACTGGATTTTTTTTAAAGTATTTTGTTTGTTTGTGAGGGCCAGCACATGTACCAATGCAAACTGTGAATTCACTGGGGTTGACACAGGAGGAAAATATTAAAAGGGTATATCCTCTTGTATTTTCTACAAAAATGGGAAGAAAGTAAAATAGTGGTTGAGATCCAGAGTACCCTGAGGACAAGTGGAAAGCACCTCCACTCAAAGAAGGAATAATTGCAGATTTATTGCTCCAACGACATCCCTCTGTGCCTGCTCTGGCTTTCTGGTTTTGAGGAACAGCTTTTTAGGGGAATGCAAAGTGCCACAGGATGGATGGATGGGAAGGGATTAGCTCTGCAGCACTTGAGGAACTCCATGTGTGGAACTTTGGATCTAGACCAATGGCAACACTGGTGGCAGGGCAAACAGCAAACAGCATTTCAGCATCAGTCATTAAAGGTGCAAAGATCAGTGCTCGTTAGGGCATAAAATACACAGAAACAGTTTATAGGAAATGGCAAGGGGCCGGGGGAGACTCGGAGATGAGCTAATACATTAAAAATTTGACCCTCTTTGGTAAACAGGAGTTGGGAACATTTCAGCAACCCAGAGTTAAGGGCAGAATGAAGTATAAAGATTAAAAACAAAACAAAACATTGGAAAACAATGAAAGAAAGATGTAAACTGTATATTTAATGGGGTTTTGTTCCTTTATGGCTGCTGAGAAAATAACAGTAGGGCTTTAATGAGGGGAGGGGAGTTGATGGTCTTATCTAGGCTTGTGAGTGCTGAGTGAATTATATTTATTAGTTGCTGTACATTGCCCATCAGAGGCACTGAGGGTCCTAAGGAATGGACCCCGGTTATGGTCTAAAAGTACACTGGGCCACCACCTTGCTGAAACTAAGCAAGTCTGAGTCTGGTTGACTGACGTCCTGGGAACCACATTCAGGCTGCCTTAGGTTTCATGACAGAAAAACCCCGACAAGGTATAAATACTGGGCTCTATTGAATCGCACCCTGAAGATTTCTCTGACTGTTTGTGGAAATGGTCTATCTGAGAGAATGGAGAGCAATGTGGTCAATGCCCTTAACAGAAGCAGAGGCAACACAGCCTATCATTCCGCCATCCGGTTCTCATTCAAAGTGGAAGCTAGAGATCTTGCCAGGCTTGATCTCTGCATAATTCCCAGTACTCCACATAACTCAACAGGTTTCAGGTGCTGGAGCATCAGAGGCCTAAATGATGCTTGAGATTAGCAACCTCAGTTTCATGCATCTCTGCCACATGTGATGGTAGGGATGAAAGAGAACAGGGTAATTTCTCACACAAAAATGAGATTAGTAGTACCTGAACATTTCGGCTCTTATCTCAAACTTCTTATTATTATTGTAATAGAAGCTGGGGGTCCTGGTTCATAGACCGGGGAGGACAACTCATCTCTCTTCCATGGATGTGCATGATGCTGCCACATCTATCTTGAATAAAAGTGTTTAAAGAGCTTTAAAGTGTGGGCCTGTGCCTTGAAACACTGCACAAAAGGAATTCTGGATGACCCCTTATCCACAGTGACATTTTTATTACAGAAAAACACATTGCGGGGATGGGGAACCTGTGACCCTCCAGATGGACTACCGCCATCCATCCAGGAGCTGCTATCCAGTGATGACAAGTAGAGAGCCACAGATTGCCCACCCCCAATGTACTGAATCTCGGTCGCTCCCTATGAGCAGAAAGAGTCCTTCCATACATCATGTATACTAGGTGGAGGAAAGAGAGATGTTCCAATCTAAACCAAAGGCGGTTTATTCATAACTAGGCACTCCAGGCGTACAGATAACTTGCAGGAACCTTGTGACTGAGTAGTCAAGTTTCAAGCACTGCAAGTGAGAGCCAGAGAGACGGAGAGACAGACAGACAGACACAGAGAGAGGAGAGGGGACTTCGCTATGTGTGAAACTATTGGTAAGGGTGTGAGAGAGACGTTCATAGATTTGCTACTCTTGTTCAGCTGTTAGAATGGAACCAATCCTTTAGTTTTGCTGGAAGTGTGGGATATGCTGAAAAGTTGTCATTCACGTGTAAACATGTAATACTCAGATTCTGTGAAGATTTATTATGAAATGCATAATGCTTGCTTTTCCTGGATTTTATTCCGAACACAGTATGTTTATACTGTAGGAGACACTGTCCAGACATTACACACTTTTTATAAGGTGCTGGGAATCTTTTCTATACAGCAAAGGTGTTGGTGGCCTTGTTCACATGCGTTGTTTTATGGAACATTTGCATTTTATAAACCAACTGGTTACAAGTCTGAAGGGCTTTTTTAACTTGTTTATTACATTGTTACATTCTGTTAATTTTTGTTAGCCATCTTGATTTTCTAAGAAAAAAGCAGGAGAGATTGGTTTTTTCAAAACAGACGAAGCGTATGCAATTTTTACTGTACCGTTAGCTGCCTTGAGAATAATATGGAGAATGACAGACTATAAAATGAAATAATGGCAACATAGCCAATGCCCTAAGCATCCGACCTTCCAAGCAGTTATCTCAAAAGATATCCGTGTAGCTTCAACGATTAAAATTAAAAAAACTGAGCTAAAAAACTCGGAACTGGATTTGCCATTGCATTCTAATGTCAGGATTTCCAAATCCTTACACCATAGTTTGTAGGATCAGAATTAAGCCAACATACATAGGATTCAAACAAATAAGATCCAGGCATGGGCAGGATCAGAATCTCACATTCTCAGATCAACTTACTTATTTGATTTTAATGTAATAGGGCTAATCCTGTTTTTGTTGCTGATTTGTAATACTGAGTGGGTTTCATTCAGCTAATTACCCTGGCTCTCTGCCTAACATATGGTGCAAAATATCACTCAAATAACTTTTTCAAAGAAGTATTTTTCTTTTTTTTACTTTATAGGCTAACAAACTGTACAAATAATTAAGTTTTATACACAGTCCCACTGGTGACCCCCATACATTCAGCGGAGGCTCCAGGCAACTAAGACTTCTTAGTGACTTAATACAGGACTATCTTCATAGTGTATGTGTTAATAACCATGCTGCAAACATGTCAAAATTACTTTTGACATGTGCGATCAAATCCATCAAAATTAAAAAAAATGAAATAAAGGCTCATTGCATCTATTAGTCTAAGCCTTCTAGCTGCTCAGGCAATTTTCACCAATAATGCAACTGGCAGGGATGGATACAACTGCAGGCCAGATAACAATTTCTCTGACTGCCATCTCTGGTTGTAAATAATTACAGAAAATCTGGATATGTCAGTACCTACTACACATTATTCATAGCATGTAGTCTGGGCTGCAATAACAGCTGCTGAGGGGCAAGGAAAGGCGAGCCCTAAAATATTCAAGCCCAGCTTGTGGGATTCCCAGAGGCATCTAGAGGGCTGCAGTGGGAAGCAAAACATTGGACTCCATGCACCTGTGGTCTGATCCAGCCGGGCTCTTCTAATGTTCACATGAGATCATTAGCCAGCAGCACAATGTTTGCTTTGGAAGGAAAACTAATATCCTATTATCATTCGAAAATTCTACACATATTGGAATAAAAGCAACGGCATGGTAAGTATACAGCCCCGCTTGGTTTAAAACATAAATTAGCTTTTCATTATCAACTTGTAACTCACAAGCCATGGCTGTACCCTGGATAAGCTCCTGTGCAATTACAATTATTGGTATAAATTCAATAGCAACGGCCAAGTCATTCACATCTGAAAATTGGCTACAGAGCTCTGCACTCGATTGCAGCCACCGCTCCCATTATTGGCTGTGCCTATCGGCGTTTTCATTACAATGACTTCACACAAGAGAGTGACAGGATATCTGGTAAAGAGGATTAATAAATCATGTCAGAGATGCATGAAACGGCAAGTTTGCCAAAGCTTCCCACTCCTCCACTTGGTACAAGGGCCACAAAGCAAAACTAGGAAATGCAGTATAGAGAGTATTAGTGTTCAGAAAACCCAAGGCAGAAAAAAGAAAAGAAAAAGAGCTTGCATCTGTAAACCCAAGGCAGTTCTGCTGCATGCTTTAACCCAGTTATACATTTTCCCTACTCTTCATGGACAATGCCCCACATTTCAAGCACGTGTTAATTGTTTGATGCTTGCAACAAAGGAATTTCCACATCTTATCCTCTCAATTACAACACTTTCCAACGGAGCCAGCTGCAAGTATGTATAATAATCAAATGCAAAACTATCAAGTGATGTACACGGTGTGCAAGAGCTGCAGCTAACAGCAGTGTCATACAACCAATAGCAGAACGAACCCCAGCACTAGGCTTCACAGCCACGGGATTCATTTTAAGAGTCCTGTATATTCCTTAAAAATCAGGTGTGGGGAAACTTTGGCCCTCCAGATGTTGCTGAAGTATAGCTCCCATCAGCCCCTGCAAGCATAACCAACGGCCAGGGATGATGGGAGTTGTAGCCATTTGTCAGTTTGATATCTTCTCCCCACAAGAATGACTCTTACTGTGAGGTGTGAACCATCATAGAATCACAGAAACCTAGAATTATGGACCAAAAGCGTCATCTAGTCCAACCCTCTGCAATGCAGGAATCTTTTGTCTAATATGGTGCTCAAACCCAAAACCCACAATCAAGAATCTCATGCTCTACTGACTCTCTTGCCACTGGCATGTTCTCTCTCACCCTCTCTGATATATAAGCAACATTTCAGCTGCACAAGCAGGGGTTCCA